TTTTTTTTTTTTTTTGTACCGGGGATCAAACTCGGGTCCTTGCACTTTCAAAACAGTGGTGAAACCACTGAGCTACAGCCCCAGCCCTGTATTTCTAAATAATTAAAATATATACACTTCAACTATGAGACATCCCCACGGGAACCTGGGGGTCAGAAAAACCTGGTTGGAGAGCCTTAGATCCGGACTGCAGCCCAGGCCAGCTCCTGGAGCCCACACCAGGTGGCCCCGCCCGAGAAGAGGGGAAGGAGGCAGGCGGGGGGCAGCAAGAAAGGAGTGCGGGCTGGCTCGGGCTCCGAAGGGAGGGCAGCCCACAAGCTCAGGTCTGCCCCGGCCCTTCCGGCCAGGGCGAGGGTGGAACCAGGCAGCTGAGGAGAGGCTGGGCTCAGGCAACCTCGGTCTTTCCCGGGCAGGAGGCCGGGCAGCCGTGCCCAGAAGCTGCTGAGGCCTAGATGGGGAGTTTCCACCGGGGTGGAGAGCTGGGGTTGGACGAGAACAAGCCCCAAACTGTAGGGGACCAGGTGGCCCTGCCGCCCCTCCGCACCGGAGGCTGCCTGGCACCTATGACCGCGCGGAAGTCCAGGCAGTCCTGGGGTCACCGACCGATGGGCAAGTTGGACATCAGCCAGGGACGTAGCCTCACGGCGAGGGAGGGGACCCAGGTCGCAGGACCTTCGAGGTTCCGGTCAGGCCCAGGACTCTGATTCCAAGGGGTCGAAGGAGCACGGTTTACTCTGTCTTGAGGTCAGGTCTAGCCATGGCGGCTTCCCACCAGGATCCCAGGGCCGCCCCTCGCGGACATGCGAGTGAGGCCCCCTTGAGACATTGGGGTGGACTCTCTCAGAACTAGGCTCGCGCTCCAGCCTCGGTCGACCGTGCTCCACGGTATTTACCCAGAGGACCCGAAACACGGCCACCTACAAACCTGCACACGAGTGCTCGCAGCAGCCTTGCTCACGGGCTGAGACGTGGAGTGGCCGAGGCGTCCCCCGCCCCGCAGGCGGCTGGAGAAGGCTTGGACACGGTTCCCAGCGGCCAGATGCCCTTTGGGAAGGGCCCCAGCGGTGGGCCGGCCTCGTGACCTGGGCCGAGAGAACAGGCAGAACTGGGGGGCAGCGAGCAGCAGAGGCTGAGCCCCGGGAGGGGAGGGACGGTCATGGTCGGTAGAAGGGAGGCTTCCAAGGCACCTTCCACCCCGCCTTGCTTTTCTTATTCATTCATCTCCTGGTGCTGGGGAGGAAGCCAGGGCCTCGAGCCTGCTGGGTAAAGCCCTCTCCCACCCAGCTGCACCTGCCTGGGCTTTTTTGGAAAAAGCATTTGGAGCTTTCTTGGTGGTGCTAAGCGTGGGTTCCCTGGCGCTAGGTTACCTGGATGAAGAGCCTCCCTCTGCCTCGGACAGGAGTGTCCTCCTGTTCTCAGTACGTGTGCATAGGGACAGGCAGGGAAATCCCCTTTGCAGAAAGCAAGGTCCAACTGTGAAATTTAATTTTAAAATGACCAGCACCCAACCCAGCTCCTAGGTGCGGCCTCATTGGAGCCAGGCCTGAGACCATTAATGGGCTGTCCATGGCCCTGGGGAAAGGGGGACAACTGGACAGGCAGAAGCCAGAGGCCTGGGGCGGCTTCTCCAAGCCCAGGGACATGGGTCAACAAGAGTCGGGGTCAGGAGACGCCTGGGCCAGCCCCGTAGGCCCCGCCAACCTCTCCATCCTGGACTCTGGCTCCGGGACCCGCTGAGCTGCCCACCACGGTGACCATGGTACCCACTGCCAGAAAGGACCTGAAGTTAAAACATGTCACTGTGGTCCAAACCCTCAGTGAGGGGAGCCCGTCAGCAGTGTGTGCAGCGTGGGTGACTCTGGGATGGACAGCGTCCCGAACTCCACTCACCTGGTGTTTCTCAGTGCCAAGCCGAGGGCCGGCCGGGCTGGGGTGGGAGGAGACAGGAGGACCCCATGGCCACCCAGCATACCTCCTCCTGACCGGGGAGTGGGACCCTACACAGTGGTGAGATCACGTGGAATGAAGCACACGGTGTGCACGGCAGGGGAATGGGCACAGGAGATGGAGGACCGCAACAGTGTCAGCACCCGGTGGTGTCGCCATGCTGCGGGAGTGTAACCTGGGGATCCAGGTGAACAACCGGAGCCTCTGCCTGTGGACCCGACGGGCCACGCGGTTCAGTGAGCAGGACTGAAGGTTAACTGGCCAAGTGCCGTCCCCATGGATGATGAACTGGGATAAAGTTCCGAGCCTGACGCTGCTCCAGCCCTGGCTCCACCTCATGCCCAGCAGGTGGCGGAAGTGTCCCAAGAATGGGGCACAGCATGCTGGGAGGCCTGGGACAGCTCTGGCCGGTCACCACGGGGCTACCCACACCCACTCCTGTCAGGGGAGCACTGGGGCCCTCCACTGGGATGGCTCACCCCACCGCTGGCCACAGCTGTTTGCTCGGCCCCGGAGGAAGCTGAGTCAGGAAGTGGCTATCAGAGAGCTCTTCCTGCAGCCGTCTGGATTGTAAAACTGTCAGAGTGGCTGTGTCCTGGCGGGTGACGGATGGGGCAGGACAGCCGGCTCTGCAGGTGGACACAGAGCGTGCAAGTCGGGGCGGGCAGCACAGCCTCTGGGGCTCACAGGTGGGGCTTCCGCCGAAGCCTCCGTGTTTGCACCTCAGGTGTGAGCTGCCCGCAACAACCTGACCTGCCCCGCACACCCTGCCCCGCTTGGGAGCTGTGGCCTCTGCCCGGATGGACCTGGACACCAGCACTGAAAGCTGTTTGAAAAGTGCAACAGGAAAAAAATCAGCACCGAGAAAGCTGGCCTTGAGTTGTGCTAGGAAACGTTTCTGTGCTGGGTGTCCCAGCCTGGCTGGGGGACACGTGCCACAGCCAGTGCCCAAGGGGGCAGTGCCCGTCACGGTCCCCGAGAGGCAGCAACGGACGGGAACCTGGCCCTCTCCCCCAGGTGGCCTCCAGCTGTCCCTCTGGTCTTGCAGAGGTTGCAAAGGCAGTTGTGGTGGGCCTCATGGGGCCATGACCACCAAGGTTCCTCTCTCCCTGTCTCTCCCTGTCTCTCCCTCTTGATAGGGCTTGCTTTGGAATTCACTGTGTAGGCCACTGTGGCGATCCTCCTGACTCAGCCTCCCGCGTGCTGGAATCACAGATGGCGCCACAGCTCCCCTGTGAAGTTCTTGACAAGCAGCCTTCCTGGGTGGGGCGGCACCTCAGGGGCAGAACGCACCTACCTGCCTGTGTGAGGGCTTGGGCTTGGTCCCAGCACTGAAGAAAAGAAAAGCATCCCTGGCTGAGCCTGTGTCCCCTGGGACCCTGGGAGGTGAGGACCTCAGAGCGCTGCACTCTTCTGTTGAGCCGTCCACAGTTTGTTCTCAGAGACTGTGGCGGGAGGGAGGCGGTGAAAGCCAAACTCGTGTTGCTATCTGCAAACCACAGCCGGCAGGGGAGGGCCTGGAGAAATGGGGCTCCTGGGGCAGCAGGGAGTCTGTGGGAGAGGCGTGCCCAGCACACCCCTGCCCCGCCCCACTGCCCGGTCCTCATTGGCCGGCTCCAGGCAGAAGGGGCTTTAAAAAGCCCACAGGGCCAAGCTGGGGCCAGGAGCCCAGCTGCTGGCAGGCAGTGCCCTCCCCCAGCGGCATGCAGCTCTCCCTGGCCCTGTGTCTCCTCTGCCCACTGCTTCACACATCCTTCCAGGCTGCAAAGGGCCAGGGCTGGGCCCCCTTCAAGAATGACGCCACCGAGTTCATCCCCGGGCTGGGGGGCTACCTGCAGCCCCCTCCGGAGCCAGAGAGCAACAAGACCATGAACCGGGCAGAGAACGGCGGGCGGCCTCCCCACCACCCCTTCGAGGCCACAGGTACGGAGGAGCAGGTGCGGGTCCACAGCGCCGGTCCCAGGGCTCGCTGGCAGCAGGGAGGGGGCACAGGTGCAGGGGCCTGGCTGGCCAGGGAGTGACAGGCGAGGGAGGGTGCGGCACCGCTGCGGGCACAGGGACGGCAGGAAGGTGGGGAGAGGCCAGCGGAGGGCACAGGCGGTGAGACCAGAGTGACGGCCTCTGCTGCCCGCACCCCGCTGTTCTTGGAAAGTCCCAAACGCCTCCCTCCCAGGCTCGTGGGCCACCAGAAGCCACCGAGGGAGGCTGGCAAAACCTCTCTGTCCCTCCTGTGCCTGATCTCCCGACCTAGGTGCCCGGCCTCCCTTGGCCTCTCTGGTTTTGGTTTTGGTTCCTGGGATGGTGCTCAGGACCTTTCCCTTGCAAGGCAGGCGCAGTGTCACTGAGCTAAAGCCCCGGCCCTAGACGATGTTTTCACCCTTTGTAGCCATATTGAAACTTTCCCCAGGACACCTCTGGGCTGCAGGGAGCTCCCCACCTGTGCCGTCCAGATGCGTGGGGACCAGACCAGGGCGGAGCCTGCTGCCCCTTGCCTGCCTCAGGCGCCCAGGAGTGATGAGGGCACAAGGGTAGCCAGCAGGGAGCCTGGCGCGGCAGGCGCCTAGTGTAGGCTGGGGCGTGGGGTGGGAACTCTGTCCCCTCTGGTAGGGAAGCAACTGCGAAACAGGTCGCAGGGCTGCACACGGCAGTACCCCGGACTCAGGAGAGGAGCCCGGGCTGGCGCTGGCGCTGTCCTGGGGCTGGTTCTTGTCCCACCCTGGACCTCCGGGTCTGGCGGATGCCCAGAGGGCTGGATGCCGGCCGCGGTCCCCGAGTTCCGTCCTGACCCGGCCTCTGCCCGCCTCCAGCCCAGAGGTCCGGCTTCGCGGCCTGCAGTTAGCCTCCCGCCTTCCTCAGCTTGGTCCCCGCCCCGCCCCGCCCAAGGTCCTGCAGAGGGATGCGGGGAAGTAAAGCCAACTGGAAGGCGTGGGGGTCCCCACGGCGCCCCCTGCACGCACAGCTGGGGCCGACCTCAGCGCGGGGCGGGGGGCAGCCTGCACGTGGGGCTCCCTGAGTTCACGCATGGTGAACTCCGAGTCCCGGCCCTGTCGCAGCCGCACGGTGGAGGTGCAGCCCCCCCCCCCAGGCGAGGGGTGAGTGCGACCCCCAGGGGTGCAGCGTTAGGCCCGGCAGGGGCCGCCCGCCCACGCCCCTCTCTCCCCGCAGACGACTCCGAGTTCAGCTGCCGCGAGCTGCGCTCCACGCGCTACGTGGCGGAGGGGCCGTGCCGCAGCGCCAAGCCGGTCACCGAGCTGCTGTGCTCCGGCCAGTGCGGGCCCGCGCGCCTGCTGCCCAACGCCATCGGCCGCGGCAAGTGGCGGCACCTGGGCGCACCCGCCCCGCGCTGCGTGCCCGACCGCCACCGCGTCCAGCGCGTGCAGCTGCAGTGTCCCGGCGGCGCCCCGCGAGCGCGCAAGGTGCGCCTCGTGGCCTCGTGCAAGTGCAAGCGCCTGGCCCGCGCGCACAACCAGTCCGAGCGGAAGGACTTCGCACCCGGGCCGCAGCGGGGCCGCAAGCCCAGGCCGCGCGCCGAGCTGGACAACGCGTACTGACCCCGCGCCCCGGGCCGCACGGCCGAGGCCCCGTCGCTCCAAACGCACGCAGGACCCTGAGCTGCGGGCCAGGAGGGCGGGGCGTCCAGGCCCTGAGCGCCTCCCACCCCCTGCGGAGGCGCCGGCCGTGACCCTGGCCACGCGGCTCTCCGTGGGACTCCGCTGCCCTCTTTTTCGTGGGGTGAGGGAGGTCGCGTCTCCAGGACCCCCGCACCCTGGGGCGGGGCCTCCGCTTCCGGGCGATCGCACGGCGGAGGGAGAGGCGAGGCCGAGCACAGCTCCGGGGAGGGCGGGTGTTGGTCCCACCCTGGCTCCCGTGCATCTCCAGGAAGCGGCGCCAAGCAGGGCAGCGGGGGTCCCGGGGCGCCCTCATTCCGGAGCCGCCTCCCCTGCCGCGCCACCCCGCGGCCGCGCAAGGCTCCTGCGCCCCCTGCCGGCTCCCGGGAGCGCTTCTGTCTGGGAAACAGCTTCGCGCTCCTGCCCAGGTGGGGAGCCGCAGCGCTGTAGATCACAGCCCGCGAGAGTCCTCCGGAAAGTTGCTGCCGGACGCCTCTGTGCAGCTTTTACTAATTAAACGAGGACGCATCTTAGCCAGAAGCACGAGCCGCCCGAAGGAAAGCGCAGTGCTGGGTGTGTCCCACTCCGCATGGGCCTGGCCCCAAGGTGGTTGTAGAGCACGTTGTGTATTTATTTTCCCGTGTAAATTATTTATGCACAGGGTTTTCCTGTAGAGAGCGACAGTGTCTGCCTGCTCCATGAGCCGGGTGCTCTCGGGTTGGACGCTGTTAATAAAGACGTCACTGTCATCAAGCGGATGTGGTCTCTCTCAGCCTCGCACAGTGGCGTTTCTGTCACTGAACCCCGAGGTCCACCCTGCCACGGACCCTCGACTGTCCCTCGGCTGTCCCTGTGGCAGTTCTGCCCCTCCTCTGAGCAGTCACATGCGTCCTTCCTTCTACACCAGGCCTCATGCCCCCACACCCTTCTGCAGCTCCAGGCCCAGGTGCTCCGGCCCCTAGCCTGTGCCCCCTCCGCACCCTAAGACTTCCTCCTCTTTGTTAGGGTCCATGTTCCTGGTCACCTCTTCCCTGCATCTTCCAGACGTGTCCACCCTCCCAAGAGCCCCTCCTTGGTGGCCTGTCCCCTTCAGCCCAGGCCACAGCTTTGGTCCCTGTCCCAGGCCCCACTGAGGTCCCTTCCTGGTGTCCCTGCTTGCTGGCCTGGCACAGGCCACTCAGGACGAGCCTGCTCCCGAGGAAGGGGGACAACTCTGGGCCTCTCCCCGCACGGGGTGCCCCGGGCTGCAGTAAGGGGGGACGATCACTGCAGGGCTTTGGGTCCAGGCAGCCCCGAGGCAAGCTGCAGGGCCTCCTGTGGCTTCTCGGGGAGCTCCCCAGGGCCCCCCAATTCCTGTCAGTACCAACAAGTCTGGTAGGTGACCCCGTGGGCCCAGGCTGGGTCCCTTGTGGTCCCAAGCCCTGCGGGTGTTTGCGTGTCATGAGGGCCCTCACTTTCCCCACAGCCGGCCCAGGCTCAGCTCTGGCCTCATGCGCGTGCGCACACACGCACACACATGCATGCGCACACACGCAATGCACCGCTTGGGCTGACAGGAAAGTGTACACGTGTGGGGACCGGGCACAGCGGCAGGGAAGGGGCACAGCGGGTGGAGGGGCCGGGCTGCTGGGCACAGGCCGCACATGTGGGCCTGGCCGTGGGCAGAGGAGAAGCCCAGCCACTGCGTCCTTGAGGTGGCAGGCATCACAGGAGCAACCCTGCCCCACACGCTGCCCGGGATCAGCCCCGCTACAGTGCCGACACCACAGGTCTGCCAGTCCAAGGGGAGCAGGCTGCAGGCGTGCGCTGTGGGGAGCCGTAGTCTGGGGGTGCAGCCAGCCAAAGCCCAAGGGGGTGGGGGACAGAAGGAAACGGGTCTCTGTCTCCCTGTCTCACGCACCCGCAGGTGCACGCGAACACACGCACACACACTCATGAATGCACCCCACAGGGTTCTTCTACAGTTGAGGCACAAATGGTGCCTGCTGTGCACACGTGGTAAAGCCACGAGGGGTCCTGGGCGGCGAGAGCTCGGCCAGGCTCTGCAAAGGGACAGAGGGGGACGGGATGGGAGCGGAGGGGCGGGGAGCTGGGGCCAAGCAGGGGCGCGGTGGCCCCCGGTGGCGACCGCTACTGTCAGTCGCAGGCTCTGTGCCGAGGACAGAGAAGCCGAGGCCCCGGATCCCCAGGCAATGCCAAGGTCCGGCACCGCGTCCTCCCGTCTGTCTGTGCGGAGGCCCCTCACCCGCGGACGCCCGATTTCCTCGTGGTCGTCAGGCTGGGGCTTGGGCTCTGGCGCCAGGACTTCCGGCCAGAGCTGGGGCGCGGCGGGGCCGGGGGGCGGGGAGGGTCCAGCCACGGGCACCGCCGCCAGAGATTGGATCCCGCGCCGTCCCTCACCGGCTGTCCCTCCTCGAGGCGGTCGCCTGATTCCACCAAGTCTTTCTGTAGCAACACCCGGGACACAGGTCGGACCGGGCGTGGCCGGAACTCCGCGCAGGGGAGTGGGAGTAGCCGAACAGGACCTGCGGGCGCCTTTCGCCTTTCGGGGCCTCCGCACCAAGGCCGCTGACCCCTGGTTGGAGGCGGGGGGGGGCTGGCATCGCAGGGGGGTGTGTGGGTGTGCGCGTGCGCGTGGGTGCCCTTCTGTGTGCCCCCCGGCGCGTGTGTTGGACGAGGCCCGGTGACCCCGCTCCCCGTGGCTGCCTTCTCCTCAGCTTTGGATCCGCTGCTCGAGAAGCCTGTCACCCCTGTTCCCTGGGGCCCACGGGAAGGTGGCGCTGACTCAGCCACCAAAGTACACGAGGCCACGTGTGCCAGACCCGGTCCAGGGGCCGGGGCAGCGGGCTGGAGGGAGGCCGAAGGGGCATCCTCCGGGCTGCACCGGGCCTGCTCAAGTCACAGAGACCGCCAAATGCCTCCTCCTTCACACGCACGCGCACGCACGCACCATCTTCTCTGAACGCCCATTGCCGAGCGTGCCCAGCGGCCCTCGCTCCCTGCTCCCGGCCCTGCGCTGGCAGGCGCACCTGGGCAGGGTTGAGCCCCCTCTTCCCGGATCACCAGAAGCGGCAGGACCCTGGCTCAGCCCCACCACCGGGAGCAGCTGAGAAGGCGGGGCATCCTCCGAGTGCACCCCTAGTCTTGCAGATTTGCCTCCAGAGGGGCTGTGGGGTGGAATCTCCTGCCAGGCCTCTCTGTAGTGGGCCTCTCTCTGTTTTTTAAAAATCAAAGTTCAGATTTTTTTGTTTGTTTGTTTGTTTTGTTTTTTGAGAAGGGCTTGTTATGCAGTCCAGGCTGGCCTTGAACTCACTACATGCTCCACACTGGCTGCAATCTCACAGGGATCCTCCTGCCTCAGCCTCCTGAGTGCTGGGATCGCAGGTGTGTGTCACACTTGCTGTGGCTGGGGACAGAGTCCCCACGCGCGGAGCAGCTTGCTTGCTATTACAGGGTGCACACCCAGATGCCTGCTGAACTTCAGTCTCCAAGGAAGGACTGCGGCAAGAGCGTCCTGGGGGTCTGTGGTTACGGAGGGGTGGCTTTGTCCCTGAGGGCCTGTGGGGCCTCTCCAGGCGATGCCCTGTGCCCTGCCATGGCCAGCCAGGTCCTCACCAGCTGACAGCAGACGCCAGCACCTGCTGCGGGGCTTCCAGAGCTGTGAGCCCCCAGCCCCAGGGACTCTGGCAGCAATAGGAAATGGACTCTGGCTTGCTCTGTACTCAGGTTTCTTCTGCTTCATTCCTCCATGGCTCCCTGTGGCCTAATAGATGAGCCCCGACTCCTCTGGGTTCTGTCTGCCACCCCACCCGCCCCAGGCTCATTGTGTCCACCACTCCCTTTTATTTTTTCCCCCTCCCTTTTATTTTGAGACAGGGTCTTGCTGTATAGTCCGGGCTGCCCTCAAACTCACAGCAATGCTCCTGCCTCAGCCTCCTGAGTGCTGTTTAACTTGAGACTCTTCCAGGTGTGTCAGCCCCCCTGCCAGGCAGGCAGAGCTCTGGGCCACTGCTCACTGCATCGTGCCACAGCGGTGCGATTTGAACCTGGCTCCCGCTCCCCTCCACCGCAGGGACCCACCCCGAGTAGCCTGGGCTTTGCACCGAGCCTGGTGGCAGCAGGGCCCATAGTATCCAGGTGGGGCGGGGCCCACATTGCCGGCTGGACACCCGCTTCCTCCCGGCAGCGGCGGCCTGGGCAAGCGCTCTCTTGGGACAGGTCTCCCCAGCTTCTGGTCCTTCAGTCCCCTTGGCACTGCCCCTCCCTGACCCCAGTGCAGAGCGAGTGCCGTGTTTACGCCTCGGGCTTTGTCAACGCCCACGTGACAGACATCTCTATCACTTGGCCAGCAATTTGGGGTCGCGGTGTTCAGTTATTTCCATGTCTGAGGAAAACAGCTCTGCTCCAACTAAAGAAATAAGTGATATCACCTTTCACTCGGGGACCAGATTCACGGCCCCCAAGGTCCCTGGGGAGCAGTGCCCGGGACAGCCAGGCTCCGGGCAGCTATTTACACCCGGCCCTGCTCTCCGCCCCCAGCGCCCTGGGATCGCTGGGGCCGTGGTCCTGCTTGGGAGGGCGGGAGCTGGCCTGGTGACAGGCTTCTTTCTCCTTTTTCTTTTTTCTTAGAAATCAACCTCAATTTAAGAAAATGACTCTCCTAGCTCACCCGTGACCGCTATTTGTAGGGTCTTGTTTTTTCCTGGTCAATTTGGCCAAGATGAGCTGAATCTAAAACGGAACATGGGCTAAAAATGCTGTTGGGCAGGTTGTAGGAACAGACCCTGGACGTGGCCTGGTCACCTGCCTGGATGCCCTTCTGAAAAGATGCCGGAGGGGGGAGAGGTGCTCAGGCCTCTGCCATGCGGGTGTTGGGATGGCTCTTGGGTTTTATTTTTATAGGACAGGGTCTCATTGTGGAGCCCAGGCTGACCTTGACCGTAAGGTGGTCCTCCCGTCTCAGCCACCTTCAGTGCCTGCCTGCTGGCCGCCTGCACCCGGTCCTGGCCAGCCCGGGGGGACAGGGAGGGCCCACTGCCCTCCTCCAGCCTTGTCCCCGGGTCGCTCCATCCGTGCGTCTTGTCACCTCTGCCACTGCATCCTGAGCTCCTTGCGGGGGGGACCGTCCCCAAGGTCTGCGCCCACAGAACCGGCAGGGAGCGTGCTCAGCAGAACTGGCAAGGACGCCAGTGTGGACACACCGCACCGAGGCATCTGGATGTGGTTGCTGCGCCTCCCAGTCCCCCGGAGAGGGGCTAGGCGCTGCCCACCACCAGGCCTGGGGCCCTGTCCTGAGCGCTTCTGTTGTCTTCTCCCCCAGTTTTGGAGTGTACTGGGGGTCGACCAGTCCTCCGATCCGCCTAGAAAGGGGGGCAGTGAGCCCTAAAGAAATAAAGACAGCAGACACACAATTCATAATAAAGGAGCTGAGAGGTCGGTGCCCCAGAGTGGGCAAAGGCAGAGGCCCTGTGAGCTCGACCCTGCTTCTCAGGTGCATGCAGTAGCTGGGGAGCCTGGGGTGACTCGGGACTCAGGCTGGTGAGGAGAGAGAGCCTTCTGGCAGCAGCAGGCGGGCTTCGCCCTTTGAGGCCTCTCTCTTTGCTTTCACTCCTTGGTTCTCAAGGAGCCAGGGCGTCCTCAGCGGGTGGCACCTTGCCCTTGAGCGTCCAAGCCCCCCGAGACCTGAGGTGTCAGC